AGACTGACAGGTGCTCGTCAGTCGCCACCATGCCTTGAAAGCTACCGGTTCCGGAGAACCGGAGCGCGCAGAGAACTTGTTGTTCCACGGTCATGGTAGACGGGAATGTCCGCCGCCTCGAAGTCCGGGCGCCGAACGAAGCTCGTCGCAGAGTCAACGCACAACGACTTTTCGATAGCCGGTGCTGTCGCCGAAAGTCGTCGTCGAAGAGTTGAAAGGCGTCCCCGGTGGTTTCAGGAGCGACGCCGACGGTGGCGGAAGATAAGCTCGGCCGCAGCGTACGGCATTGCCATGTTGACAAAGTTTAACTTCGCCTCGATCCGAAGCGAAGATCTCGAGCTCAAACCACGGCTCTCGCAAAGTTCGGAAACGTCACTTTGACGTCAGCGACAACTTCGACAAACGAAGTTTCTTTTTTACACAAACTTCGGAGGGATTTCGAGCGGCAGCAGGTCGCCTAGGGACAATCTGCAAAGCATTAATTTTGGCTTGGCGTAGGGATGTAGGGGCAAATGGGCGCTACGTCATCGGCGAAGCCGTTCAATCAGCGGGCTCCTCGCGCCCCTCACGCGCCGCACGCGCCCCTCGATGAACTTTGCTACATTCTGCCTCTCTCAAAGAAATGAGCGTTCAAATGATTGACACCTCGCTCGGCGCTACGTCAGCGTCGCGAGAGTCCAATTAGCGCGTTCCGCAAACTTCGGGCACAAAGTTGTGCTTGACGAGTTTAGCGACCCTGGAGTGTCGTGATCTTGCGCGCGGTGCAAGGAGATCACTGGAAGAGCAAGATGGCTTCAATTTTTACCTGCGTGGCTACGACCGAACAGGGATCGTTAAACTTCGGCGTAGTGAGCGACCACATCGTCCATGACTCGTCCCATGCGCTTTTTGCGCTCAACGTCGTCGAACGGCGGCTGGAGGAAGTATTGCCTATTTTCACGCAACTCGTTCACACTTCAGACGGTGCTCCAAGCCACTTCAAAAACAGGCGACAGATGTGCGAATTCAAGAAAATGAATGTCGTCACCAAGTGGATATTTTCCGCATCAGGGCACGGGAAAAGCTCGTGTGATGGAGTGGGCGGCGTGCTCAAGCACCAGGCATCCATGTATAACTTGACAACTACAGAATCATACTCCATAACGAACGCGCAAAGCTCCGTTGATGCACTCAGACCGAAAGTCAAAGGAATTGTTCTAATCTCAATTGCCGAAGAGATGCTCACGCGTTTCCGGGAGCTCAAGAAAAAAGATGTGAAAAGGTAAACCCACCAAGGGGCATCTGATCGTCACACGTGTGGAGGAAGACAATGGAGGAAGGTGCCTTGAACGTTGCCCTCGTAAAGATTTGCGAGAGCCCAGAGTGGCTGCCTACCCGTGTCAAGGAATACACGTACCGCTTTGCGTCCCGTAATTCAAACGATCATCAGGGAGTGCGTGCCGGCATGTTCAAAACTGCAACCATGGACTACGTGAACCCTACACAGTAGGAAAACTGATTCACAGTTACGTCGAACTAGTAAAAAAATACAGTGCCTTCGGAAAATGTGACATCGGTGTTTCTGTGTTTTTTACAAGGTTCTGTGCGCGCGTTTCTACATTACTGAGGTGCAAGAACTGTGCAGTCAACCGCCCGCGATCTCCAAGATGTGAGGAGAACAAAACCCGGCGCATATTTCCAGAAAATTTATGTACAAGATTTGAATGGTGTGAAAATTTATCATTCATTCGTAATAGGCTGGATAACGGGTAGCCACCATCGTTTATTTTAAACTTCTATATAGAAATAATTTTTGAAATGTTGCGTGGCCTTTTGATTTGTGTATACTTGTTACTCATTGCTTTCTAGTGTGCTTGCTTATGTGGTTTCTACCTTATTTCAAGTTTTAAATTACAATGAATATCACAAGTTCGCCTACTTCACGTTCTTTTTTGAACACTTAAACAAAAATAAAAATATATCTCCGAAATCGTAGAGGCGCGCAGTGATGATAAGGTTGCTGTATTTTAGTCAGATGAGCACGCATTTCACACGATTGAGGCTCAAATAGAGGACATACAACCAAAATATTATATTTCTAGATTGTTTTTCCTTTAGTCGACTAAAAGAATTTAAAAAACAAAAATTTACGAAAATGGGGTTTTTGAGAAAATCGACCTCAAACTTTCAACATTTGTTATTACTTACGAAGTTTGAGTGAAGGTAGCGGAATGGTTATTCAACAAATCATAATGATATTATTCTATCTATAATGGACTTGCTTTGGGCTTTCAATAGAGCCAAAAAACGAAAATTTACCTTAAGTACAGACAAAGTAATGACCTGTCAAACTTGACCAAAAATCAACCTGAGAGACGAGTTCGACATTTTATTTAGAAAACAATACTGTTTCTAAAAATATTTGAATACGTAAAGGTATCTTTATAGTACTTATTAAATTAGGAGAAAAGTTAAAAGAGTGTAGAAAAAACACTAGCGTCAGCAGAGGGTGTCAAACACGCGACCTGCGACGGCAGGCAAAAACACTAGTTTCTGCCACTGCGGCTTCTAGGCTTCGTAACTCGAGAACAAAAAATCTGGGGAATATGCAGTTTGCGCCCTCCTTCATTTGAGAAATGCCCCCAAAACATAATTTTTTTTTGTCAAAATTAAAAATTAGACCCTTTTAGCCTGCCCGATTTGAGATGAAAACACCAAGGTCTAAACAGTTCGCGACAGAGCAGATCAATGGTACAAAAGCTTCATAACACCGAATCTAATGCTGAGGAAGTCGCACTTTTGAGTCATGATAATCGGCACTTGCGTCTGCTCTGCGCGAAGCACGAAGATGGAGACACCCACAAGAATACCGGGAACAAAAGGCCTATACTCTAAGCTAGAGCCACTAAATGAGCTTATTTAGTGGCACTACATTCGCGATTCCAGCGTCCTATAGGGGGCGCCACTATCGGGCAAATAGGGCGGTCGAATCCAGGGGGGCTATGTTGCGCTTTTTGCACTCCCAGGATACTTGGAAGAGGGAAGTGACGTCAACAACGCAGCAAATGCAGATTGGATGTTGATTTTGTTTTCTTCTGTCAACATCCAATCTGCATTTGCTCTAGTCGTTGATGTCACTTCCCTCTTCCAAGTATCCTGGGAGTGCAAAAAGCGCAACATAGCACCCCAGGTTGTGCCGTGCCATGCGCCAGCTCAACGCACAAAGCTGGGGCAGCAGCAAGTAAGCATTGGACTCAAAATTGGTTGCCCCGCGTTTTATCTTCCACGTTTCGAACCTGCGGCAATGTGTTGGGGTAAGCGAACATCCAGAGGCTTGACCTTCTCGAGAAAATGAGGAAAGGACTGCCCACTGTCCTTCCACGGGGCTGATGAACGTTGAGAACCGCAAAATGTCTGGCTCACGCGGTTACGTAGGTCGCGTGCAGAGCAACCTGAGAACAAGGCGGTACTACGGTTACGGCACAGTCACCGCTAGAACTGTCGCGCAAACCACCGACAGCATGGAAACACGGAAGCCAGAAGAGTCGAGCAGAAATCGCGAAGGGACCTGTTCCGGCCAGTTCAGTGATTTCCAGGGCCGTTCGTTTTGCTGGAGTCGCGAATAGGTGGTGTTGGATGAGCGTCCTGGCGATGATCGTTTGACACTGCTTGATTGTCTAGATCTGTTCGCAGTGTTGGCTTCCGTCAGACTTAAAGTGAAAACAAGTATAGACCTTTCCATCACATATCACTCAAACGAAAAATGGTGAGGCACTGTGGTGTGGGAGGATAAGCAGCGTCATTTATACCGCGCAACAAAGCCATAGAGCACGCTCAGAAGCCATTCCATGGCCTAGCAGTCAAAGATGGCAGCGCGAAAGGGCAGATTTTTGGAAAGGGTTTATTAGAATAATTAAATATTTTAAACTAGCGTTTTCACGTCATCGGGGCGATATCGACCACATTGGCCGACCGGGCACGAGTGCTGCGTAACCGTTCGTGTGCGCAATGTGTCCAAGCAGAGCGTCAAACTAGTTTCACCGTGAGGCTCGGGCCTAATCTACCTTTTTTGGGAAAACGCGGGTTCGAGGAACTTGAGAAGAAAACGCGAGTGCATACCACGAGAGCTGGCAAGAGCCTCTCGCTTCAAAGCCTGTCAAGGTCGCTCGTGAATCCATGGAACGCAAACGTCTCTTTTCTCTGAAACCATGACTTCAAAAGAGGCGCATTGCTGAACGGGAACAATCAGGGTGAGGACGTTTAATAGAAAAGGAGGTAGTTCAAAGGCCTTGATCATTCTACGCACCAAAGACGCGTTATCACATAAAACAAAAAAGATTATCCTATTTTTTATGCACCCCAAAAGTAAGTTTTTGCAGGTTTTGGTTGTTAAATAAAGAAACGATGCTTTTGGGGGGATTTGCAACGTGTACGTCTTCATACAATAACGTAAATTTAATTGAAGATGCACCTCCATATATTTTTAGCTCAATCGATAAAAGGGGAAATTAGTTAAGTTGAGCAAGAAGTCGGACTTTTTTTACGGCGGTTCTTAAAGTGAATAGAAGTTTAGGTGGTGCTGACTAAGCATCGTACTGACAGCTTCACAAACCAAACGAACTGTCAATCACTTACGAGTCAAAATAGTAGCAAAAATAAATTGGGGTGTATGTTTATTCAGCCTAGAACTTAGTCTACCTCAACGGGCGACCTGTCCCTCAGCTGTAGATGGGAGCTTTAGCCAGTGCTGTACCACCACTAGCCTGGGGTCCTTAACGTACACCACGCAGTAGCGATACACGACCGCACGCCAGTACGATTCTCATACAGATTGAAACGGGCAGGGATGGGGATAGAACCCAGGATCCCTGGGTTCAGCAGCGCGAACTTTCGCTCTACGTGCTTCGAGCTGCTGCGCCACCCATCCCCTGAATGAGTAGCAACGAATACCACAGTGAGCGTTCGGCGAATCTGGCGACGCTCTTGGTTCCACTGGTGAATCCCGAATACAAACACAGATATCTTGTATTAATGCATTTTATTATACAAATGGTGGTTCATTTTTTCGGCTAAGAAAGAGCATAAGCTTCCCAAAGACTCATGTGCACCTCATCCCTTTCTTTTCTGATATACTCCCGCAAACACAAATTACATTTTCGATTGTTTGTCGTAATGGAGTCATGAATTTAGTTATTGGGAGGACAAAATAGCACACAAATTGTGCGCTGTACTTTGACATGTATACTTTATGATTTGTTAACTACCTGAAACGTCAAATCTTGTCTGCTATCCAGGGAATAGAGGAAAGCAGCCGACAGTGTTACCCTAACTTTTGCCTATTCGAGCTCACAGACACTGCACGGTAATGGCCTGACAAATCTGGGCCGTTATGCAGGTCGTCACGCCCAAAATTAAAAGACACTGTTTTTTTGTGTTTTTTGTGTTTTTTTTTTCATTGTCCGCGATTTGAGCGCTGTTTGCGGCCATTGCGTTTAATCAACTGGCACGAAACATAAGAGTAATTAAATATTTAAAAAAATGAGAGAGCGATTTTTTTTCTTGATTCTTCATTTTGGGGTATTTTTTTAGGTTTTCTTTACGATACAATTTTTGCAGCTGCTTAATTGGCTGAATCGGTTTGTAGCGCCGGCTGCGATTGTTCTTTATGTGAAACGGAGCATGGCAGTAATTATTTTTTTTCTTTCCTAGTAAATATATTTAGGCGTTTTGATTCAAAGAATTAACGATTCAATCAACTAATTTGGTGGGGCCCTTATTACACCAACCCTCCCCCTTCCAAATAGATCGCGCAAACAGCCACCGACATATTTCGACGGGATGACGAGGTGCCTAGGTCGGACGACAGCTAGGCGGTGGACGCGAACGACGACTGCGACGACACCGTCGACCTCGTCTTGGCGAAGTGCAGGAAGACTTCCGTCAGGCTTACGTCGCTGACAAGGTACTCCTGGAGCGTGCCGTCGGACCGAAGTTCTTCTAGGCCGGTGAAGAGGACGTGCCAGGCCTGACCGGGCACGTGGAATCGGAGGAGGGAGTTGGCGTGCCGACGCCGCAGGGCGGATCCGGGGAAGCGAGCGGTCATGGCCGCCGTCAGGGACTCCACGTCGACGAGGCCGCGCACCAGGACAGTGGCACCGGCGCCGAAGGAGGCCTTGAGCTCCGGCGTGGAGCCCAAGCAGACGAAGCGGCCGCCCGCCAGGATGGCCAAGCGGGAGCACAAGGCTTCACATTCTCGCATGCTGTAACCACAAACAAAAAAAAAAAAAATAATAATACGGGTTACTTAATATTTACATTTTTTGTATTCGTATTTTGCTCACTTGTATTTCCTAGGCCTAGACCAGCAAGGCGATATGGGAAAACACCTCCGTCCCTGGGACTCTCGAAATTGTACAGCCGCGGATGATATGAAGAAGCCTACGGTGAACCAACACTACCTTGACAGAAGGCCATCACACTGTCATCGCAGTCAGATCGATCGAGGTCTGAGATAGGGCACGAGTGGTGCGTCAGTGTTCGGCTGGGGCGCCTGTCCAATCAGAGCTTCAAAGGTTCGGCTCGGGCCCAATAGCCGAATTATCGCGATCCGACTCTGATGACGTCTCATGAAGGGAGAGAAGGCCATGTGGAGGCTCTTATTATTTTAGGTGTTGTTGGCTGAGGACGTGGCTTAGGGGGCCTGCACCACTATCTATATAAGAAAGAAGCTCAACGCTCGTCGATGCTTCAGCGGCTGTTACAGTTTTTGTCGTCAGTCCTTTGCTTGACTATCTGTCACTGAGTTAATGGCAATTTTAGTGCCAGTTTTAGGGGCGTTTCTTGACCAAAAGTAAAATCAATTATGGGTGAAACTTCCGGTTCGGCAGCAATCAGTTTTATGGCGTGTGATTATAGGGCCGCGGAATAAATGAGGATATACGGTGTTTATTAAAGTGATCGCTTTCAGAAGCTCGTGTCGCCAAAAAAAAACCGGCGTCGGCAGGACGGGAAAATCCAGGATTGGTCGATAGGGTCATGACGTCAGACCCACATGACCTCGCGCGAGAATTCCAAACAACCCACGGACTCACGTGAAACGCGATGTAACGTGTGGAATGAAAGGGATTAAAACACATGTATTTCGTATTGAAGGTCGCCGCATATCTTAAATAACTTCACATTATAAACCTTAAAAAAAAAGTTAAAATTCTAGGCGGAGGCGGGTTCCGACTTTACGAATCTGAGGTTTCGAGTTAAATACGCTACTGACTAGGCCAAGCATTCACTCTTTTTTTTTTCCTTATTGCCTGTATTGACAAGAATGAACCTCACCCAAAACTCGCACAAAGAAATTATATTGAAAGACGTCGGCCTCACATTGCAGACGCGAGTAGATCAAAATCTCTTCAGCTGCGCTAATTCATAAAAAATAGGCATCCAATCGGCAAGTTCATGTACGCATAGTGTGATGTTTGGGCTGTTGATATGTCTTTTGGGTAAGTGTGTGGCGCTGTGATTTAGGACACTCTTCACACTGCAGGTGAGCTGCACTCCTGTTATCATTACATTTCGCTTCACGTTCACCCTTTCAAGGGAGACTTTCTTGTAAATCCGTGGTTAACATTTTTTTTTGCTCTTTCGTATAAGTGTTTAAATAAAGGTCTGTGGCCAAGATCACTTTTTTTTCTGCAAAGCACTATGCTTCGTTTTTCTTTACGATAGACCGCAGAGAACCCTACGAGCTATCGGAGCCAATCCGATGCCGCGTGAGCGTCACGTCGACGTTGGGGCGAACGCGGCGAACCACGAGGCGCGTGGTCACGTGATAGGTTCACATGTGCTGGATTAGCTGCTACGACTTGTAGCGTCCGTTGCGGTTCATCATAAGCTGAAACGGATTACAAAAAGATACCAGGGTGGTAAATATGCTTTCCATCGCCCAGCACTTGCTCAAAAAATAGTGAACTCATTTTAATGATGAGGAGAAAAACTGCAGGAGCTGAAGATCACTTTTCTGCAAGTCAACGTACTTTCTTCTTTCTCGAAGCTATCTAAAAAAAATATATTTGTTTCCGTCAAGAACTGATGCTTCGAAGGCTGCGTGGGAGAGAGTTGCATCTAGGAAACGGCGACAATACTTTCCCCTTCGACTAACGCGGAGAAAGTTACTTGCGGCACATGTGCTTTCAAATTATCTAGATTCATTCGTTTGCTCAGAGCGACTTATTGGTAAGTTAGAAGGTTAAATACATTATGAAGCTCTAGTCATCAGCATTTACCGGAAACCAGCCTCATAAATACAAGGGCCTGAGTACGCTGTGAGTGGGAATGTTTCGGAAAAGTGCAGCTTTATTTTTGCACCGCCCGAAGAGAACAGAATATTTTTTTCTTGTTTGGCATGTCTTCCGCTAGATGGCGGCACTGTACAATGGCGAGAATTTGTTTTCCCTTGAGCCCAATACAGATCAGGCGTGGGTGGGAAGTCGATATCCCACAGCTCATGAAAGGGGTTAAATACCCCGGGTCAAAAGTCATACCACACTGGTCATATATTTCATCTTGAGGTGAGTCAACTCTCACTGTCTAAATATTCAGACACACCAATCAACTACTCGACGAGGATTCTCTGTGCCATTTTCCCGTTCCTGTGGCGAACTTTATCGCTTACAGCTTAGCCGCCTTTTTCTATGATCACATTGGGCCACTGGTATTTTATTTACGCTTTCTTCGCGTTTAAAAGACCACCGTATAAATGCAGACGCATGTCATCGATTTATTCGCAACTGCACACGAGATGTTCGTAAGTGGACAGCAACAACATGAATTGAAACACAGTCTCAAGCTCTTATGGTGGCTTGAACACAGGGTCCCTAAACTCGTCGAGCACAAAGCTGGGACAGAAGTTCGCGGAGCGTGTTGATTGGGCTCTCGCTACAATATCGTCACGCGGGACAAGATGTCAATCATCCAAACTTTCTTGGTGCTCAAATTCAAGCGAGATTAAGAACACAATGTCACAGCGAGCTTCATCAGAGCGCGTGCGAGCAACACTGTGTAGAGTGCCTTCATACTCACGCGCGCTTTTGCTTGAGTGGTGACATCTCAGCCATTTTTACGCCCAATCGTGTTTTTTTTTTTTTTTTTTTTATGCATTTGAAGTGCGCGCGATCCAGTGTCACTAAACTCGAGGGCGTAGATCTGGCTAATGCACAGGCGTCATTTCACTGCCCAAGTCACGCACCGAGTGCGCGAGTGCGTCACGCGCTGGCACATTCAGGGCAACAATGCATGTCTCCACCCTGAGATAGACAGACATGAAGGCACCCTAACACCGTGGGGCCAGCCGATTGAATGGCTTCACTGATGACGACGGGCCAACGTGTCCCTACATCCCTAGGCCGCGTTAAAGGTAACGCTGTCTAGATTGTCCTTAGGCGGCCTGTGATTACAGTGAACTTTCTCGTCGCAAGATCGCCGTTTGCGGAAGTTATCAGTGACGACAAAGTGACGTTTCACAACTTTGGGAACGAGTTATTTGAAGGCAAAATCTTCGCTTCAGAATCGAGGCGAAGATTAAACTTTGTGATACTGTGGACCCGCGCGCGGTGTACCCGGTTTTAGAGCTCATGTTCCGCCACTGTTGACAGCGTTACCTGGCCCACCGAGAGGCGATGTGGGTAGTGACGTCGGGAGAGTTTGAGAGATGAGAGAGCTATGCGGCTGGGGTTGGGGGCAAGAAAAGAACCGAGGGAAGGAACATAAAAAGGGGTACGACCAGCACACACACACACATAAACAAACCAAAAATTTCGGGTCAGGGCGTGTTGTAGAAAATGTTCGGGAGGGAGAGGGAGAGAGGGGGAGGGGAGGTAATGGTAGTAAAGAAGGGGGCCATCCCTTCCGCTGAAGTTTTTATTGTACTTTTCTGAAATGTCTGGGCACTATATAGGTCGTTATGATCTAAGGCTGAGGATCTAAGGCGTCGTTGTCGCAGTCGTCCTAGAAGTCGTCCCACCATAGCACAACTTCGCTGGTCTTCCTTCTTCGCCAAAATAGAAAGGCTGAAAGTTTTTTTTTTTTTTTTTAATGCTTCGTTTATGCCCACAAGGCAGTAAAACAGCAAAGAAATCAACAGAAGAAAAACTCAGACGACAACCCTCCGCGGCTAATTCACACAAGAGCGTTGGCTTAAATTGCGCTATGAGTCACCCAGACATTCGTGCTTCCGATTTCGCGTGCATATCTACTCCTCACATTTTTACCATTCGTAAGATACGAAGCAATAGACCGATCTCACCAGCTAGTTTGAGTACGCCACCGCTGCCGCCATGCATCGTGGGAGCTGTAGTCTTTCTGCACGCGCGACAACCCTGCTGGAGGTCTGCGCGAGCAAAGCAGGAGGTGGCATGAGCTGTCTCGTGAACTGGCGTCTGCTTCCTATGAACTACAGTTATGGCGGTGTCGCACATGCGTGGAACGCTTGGTGAGATCGGTCTATTGGAATAGAAAGCACTGCTATCGGAATCATATTCAGACACAGCCGTTCGCTCAAGCATCGTTCGTGCTGAACTAAGCTCAATCGAAGCAGCCTGCTTGGCTGCGAGGCGAAGTGCGAGACGCGAAAAAGACCAGTGAAATGCACCCATCTCACAAAGTTTGCCTCCTGCACGGACATCGAATTCTTTCTTTTTATAAAAACAAGCCCAGCACTCGTCCCCTTCTCAGTAGCGTTATTGCGTGACCAGGAGCGGAATAGACTTGTACCGTTTGCTGACCTCTTTCTACACCCCAAGGCACAGCAAGCAGGCGTGTTGGAGCCGCGGAATACCAAACATTTGTATGCGATTCCCCACAAATACGTGTGTCACGACGCTGACTCAGAAGAAATTCGAAACTTTGCAGCAGAAGCTGGCCGTCCACAAATCCGTGACTCATGGTGGCGATTAGAAACAGTGGCGAAGATAGCGATGGCGTACATTTCACGTGACTCCTGTCGTCCAATGCTACCGCAGGAAATAAAACCATACCCGGCTGGAGTGATACTGTTTTCTGAAAAGCATTAAGAAATGTGAATTTGTACTCTGACAGGGTATTCAGTAACAATGGTGGTTCCCTTGCTGCTGATCGCATACATTTTGCAGTATACATTTTGCTCCATCCAATTTGTTTTTCTCTGTAGAATAAAGTCGAAATGACCACCAGCGAGATGCCAAGACGTCACATGCAAGCCATGAATACGTCGATCTTAATTACGTCACAT